TATATCATGCCCAAACAAAGAGTAGGCAGGCAGGGGCCAAGAAAAGCTTCCTGGTATATTTAAAGCCTCTGTTTTCATAGTGTCCACTCTTGGTCAAATTAAATAATGTTCAAGGTCCCATACATAACAACTGGATGAGAAGATAAACCCTACCACCAGTGAGAAGGACTACAAAGTCACATGGTAATATCCATATATATTATATGTATATAGAGTACAATAAATTGGGTGGGAAGGCAGTAAGGGAAGGTGCAGATAAGGAAGGGGATCTAAATATAATCAAATGATATTGCATGAAAATCACAAAAATTCAATAAAATGAATATTTTCCTAATGAAAATACTTGCAAATTATCTAAAGAAGAAGGGGCAAAAGATATAACGGCATTTCATCAATCACAAAAAGTACCATGTACTTTTGTTTATAATCCTTTGAATCTTACTATTAGTATCTGTTGTATAATAGATTATCCCAAATGTCTCAGTGAACAGCAACAAACATTTGTTTTTCTTACCCGTAGACTAAACATGTTGGCTGGGCTTGATAGAAGCCTGCTCTTACTGTCTCTGTTCCTCCTTAGACCAGCACTGATCTGTGTATAACATGCCCAAATGAAGAGCAGGAAAGCAGGGACAAGACAAGCTTCCTTGTATTTTAAAGCCTCTGTTTTCATAGTGTCCACTATTGGTCAAATTACGTAATGTGCAAGGCCCCGTACATAACAATTGGATGAGAAAATAAACCCTACCACTAGTGAGAGGGACTACTAAGTCACATGGTAATGTTCCTGGGTAAAAAGAACCTGAAAAAACTGAGAAAGTAGCCTACCCTAAATCCACTTAATGTCTAAACTCAAATTGTCAGCTTTCTTTTCCATGACTAGTAAAGTTTGTTGGATATATATTTAGAAAAATAATCTACCAATAGGGCTGGAGAGATGGCTCACCAGGTAAATATGCTTGCCACTAAGTCAGACAACCTGATTTCAATATCCAGAGTCTACATGGTAGAGACAACTGACTCTGGAAAGTTGTCCTTTCTGACCTCCACAGGTGTGCTCTGGCACATGCATGCCTCTTACCACACGTACACAATGAATAATTGTATAAAATATGCTATATATATATATCAGAAAAAGTAGACTTCATGAACCAGAAAAAATTCAGCCTAAAAAGTTAGAAACTATCCATTCATTAAAAGTACCTAGATGCATAATTGTGTACTGAAAATGCTATGCTGCTTTCATTTATAAATCTACTTAAAATTAATTTCACTTTTAGAGGGTTTGAAAATGATTAAAAACAATTGTTAAATGGATCTAATTCAAGCTGGTGTTCTACACAGCCCTATTACCAAAAGTCCATCAATTTGGGTTTCATTTTATAAAACAAACTAAAATGCATTCAATTATTTATCATCCAGGGAAGAATTATTAGCTTTGATTTTCCATGAAGACTTGTGTGTGTATAATCAACCGACCAAACAAAAACAAAAATCTACATTTCAGGTCTGTAATGTAGCCAGTTGGTAGAGCACTTGGCTTAACATGTTCAGGACCCTAGTCCAATCTTCAGAACTGGAAAAGAAACAAAATTACATTGTTTTAACACCTTGGAGAAACATGAAACAATAATAATCATCTCACAAAGATGATGAACATTCAGGATTTGGTGTCCTCAGTTTTATTCTTATGTGTGGTCAGTATTGGTAGAGCATGCTCTAAATATCCAACAAATATTTCTAACAAAGAAAAAGATTAATGTTTAAAATGTTTTTGCCTAGCATTAACAGGAACCAATCATATTTGACTACATATTGAAAAGTTAATTTAAATGGGAATATTTTAATTTCCACAAGAGGAAAAATATTCTAACTTTGAGCTAAGCTTTGATTTTTTTTTCTGGGTTCTGTCCAGATCATTTCATGATTTGCTTTGTTCTGTGATGAAATGTAAGTTAAGGTACATAATACATGTAGGATTATACTGAAAACTCCATTTGTCATGAATACCTCACCAGTGCATTTCAAATGGTGTTAACCCACGAGCAGCTTATGGCTCTGAGCATGGTATTTTATTATTTAGAAAGGACAGTTGTAATGGCCTGCAGTTGTGATCTTTTATTTTAATAGCACATTCCTCTGCCTTATGGCCCCATAGATAACAAGCCCATGAAGCAATGTGTAATATATAACAATTGAATATGTATTGTTCACATGCTGCTGCCGTGTATTTTTAGCTGTCTGTCACCCTCCCTGTAAGAATGGTGGCCATTGCATGAGAAATAATGTGTGCACCTGTCGTAAAGGGTACACCGGAAGAAGATGCCAAAAAAGTAAGATGCTACTAAACATATTTGCAAACTACAGATAAAACTGAGTCATTGAAGTTTGAGGACTGACATTTCATGTTTTGCTTTGTGTTTTTAACCTTAAGGCATCTGTGAGCCTATGTGCATGAATGGAGGAAAATGTGTGGGACCTAATATTTGTTCCTGTGCTTCTGGTTGGAGTGGGAAACGGTGCAACACACGTAAGATACCAATGAAGAAGCCTCTCAGAGTGTTAAAGCCTACCTTTAGGAGTGTATAGTAGAATTTGAGACAAATAACATTCTTTTTGTTTTCATTTGTTGGTTTTAATTTTTATTCATTTATTCCTTCTTTAGGAGGTATCATTTTAAAATGAGATTGAAAGGAGAAATCCTCTGACCTCATTTTTCCAGGTTAATAGAGGAATGCAGTACACAGTGTTTTCTAGTTTTTCAACCACATCTTCCAGCATAAACAAGTCTCAGAGTTCTATCTGAAGTTGGGTGTCCTAGTTTGTTTCTCCATTGCTGTGACAAAACACTCTGATGAATACCAACTTAGGGAAGAAAAGGTTTATTCAGTTTACATCTCCTGGGTCACAGTTCATCAGGGAGCACAAGGTAGAAACTTCAGGGCAGGAACCTGGAGGCAGGAGCTGGATGGAGCACAGACCATGGAGGATCACTGCTTACTGACTTGCTCCCCCGGCCCCTGTTCACCCTGTTTTCTTATGCAACACAGGCCCACCTGCCTAGGCTTGGTACCACCCACAGTGGGCTGGGCCCTCCCACATCACAGGGGAAATTACCCAATTGAGACTCCCTCAACCCAAGTGTGTCAAGTTGACACTAAAGCTATCCAGCACATTGGGTTAGAGGAAAGTTTGAAAGAATCACAAATTTCTTGGCTCCACTTGAAATCAATATTTCATTCATTCCCAAGTGAGGTTCTACTGCATTTTGGGATGGTTAGCTGTTGAGATGGAAATGGCTTCTTTTACTCAAATGTTTTATTTATTTTCCTTTGTATAAAATTATTTTTTAAGATGAGCATGGTGGTTTTTAGTCCCAGCACCTAGGAGTCAGAGGTAGATGGATTTCTGCAGGTTCAAGGCCAGTCTGGTCTACATGGTGAGTTTCAGGTCAGCCAGGGCTGCATAATGAGACTCAAGATAAAATTCAAAAAAATATTATTTAATATTAACAGCTACTATATTGTACTGGTTAAGATTAGAAATGAAAAACAATGTAAATATCAATGGTTGGGAAAGAGTCAAATTATGATGTATCATGGAGCTCTGAAGAGCCACAAGAATCACGTTTTCAAAAATACACATGACATTGGGAAACTGTTGTGATAAAGGTTTTGTTTTTTGAGACAGTCTCATGTTACTGAGGTTGATCTTGAACTCCTGATCCCACTTTAGCCTCCAAAATGGTGGAATTATAGTCATTCTCTATCTCTCCTGACTTGGGAAAGGATCTTTTAATTCTTGACTTTAAATTTTTTCTGTTTGAGGGCTAGACATGGCTCAGTGCTTAAGAGCACTGACTGCCCTTGCAGAGGACCTGGGTTTGATTCCCAGCACCCATGTGGTGTCTAACAACCATTTGTAACTCCAGTTCCATGGGATCTGAAGTCCTCTTTTGACCTCTGCAGGCTTCACAAGGCATGGTACACTCACATACATGCAGACAATATACTCATACACATAAATAAAAAATAATAAAATATTAAACTTTTTTCTCTTTTTTAAAAAATGATATTTTTGTGATTTATGATAGAATCTGGCCAGCAGTTTAAAATTTTAACTTTCTTCTATTTGCATTTTCAGCTACCTGCTTTCAGAAATGCAAAAACGGTGGTGAATGCATTGCTCCTGGTCTGTGCCTCTGTCCTCCCTCCTGGGAAGGAGCACAGTGTGAGAAATGTAAGGCTCTTTTCTCTCCTGTATGTTCTGAATATGAACCTGTTAGAATAATTAAGGTGTAGCTTATGATGAAATACACAGTAGAAAAAAAAAAAAAAACCCTATACTAATCCCTTTAGAAATAAAAAGACGGGTTGACAAGATAGCTCAGCAGGTAAAGGTGCTTGTTGCCAAGCCTGAAAATCTGAGTTTGATCCCTGGAGAGCCACGGTAGGAGAGAACTGACTCCCACAAATTGTTCTCTGACTTCCACCACATGCAATGGCACATGTGTGGCCACACACATACATACACAAACACATACTATCCTAATTTTTTTCTACCATGAGGCACCTCTCTTGCCATTTGGGGGGGCTGTCAGGAAGTCACAGGATTTATATTTGAGTATGGACTTTCCAGCACAGCTCTAAATGGGGGGGCGAGGGTGCCCACTCTTCTGTAAATAAACCACCCTATGCTCTGTTAGAAAGCCCAATAAACTCATTAGGATTATAAAAAAAAAAAAACAGAGCTAATGGAAACCTTTATTATTCCACCAAAGTTGACTTCATATTGGCAAATCCTTTGATCTTTGATTTCTTATACCTATTTCCCCTCTTAAACTTTTTTTTTTTTTAAAATGTAATCTGCTTCAAGTTACTTCTAGAAAATGTGTTTAAAATTGCCTTTCTTTGGAATAATTTAAAGAAAAAATAAAAGAAAGAAAAACAGGAGTGCGCCATCAGAAGAAGAAAAAAAGATATCTTGACAGAAAGCAATTTAGGGGAGAAAGGGCATATTTCAGCTCACACTTCCTGGCTATAGATCATTCTTGCAAAGAAGTCACAGTGGCAGGATCCTGAAGCAGCTAGTCACCCTGCAGGCATCCAGTCAATGCATTGTGCTGAGTGCTTAGCTAGCTTTCTCTCTTCTTACACAATTCAAGGCTCCAATCTACAATGCCATCCACTTTCAGGCTGGCCTCATTCCCACATTAATCAAGGCAAAGTCAAGATAATCCCTCACAGAAATGCCCATTGGCCAATATGATCTAGGAAAACCTTCATTTACACTTCCTTCCCAGGTGATTCTAGGTTGTGTCAAGTTGACAATTAAAGCTAGCCACCACATGTGCAAAATAAATAAGTAAATAAGTACAATAAAATATTTAGAGGTAAATGAAATCTCAGACAATCTTATATCCAATTGTTCTAGTTTGTTTCTCCACTGCTGTGGCAAAACACTCTGACCAATACTAACTTGGGGAGGAAAGAGTTTATTTAGCTTACATCTCCCAGGTCACAGTTCAACAGGGACCCCAGGGTAGGAATGCAGGGCAGGAACCTGGAGGCGGGAACTGGAGCACAGGCCATGGGGGATAGTTGCTTACTGGCTTGCTCCCTTGGCCCCTGCTCAGCCTGCTTTCTTATGCAACACAGGCCTACCTGCCCAGGGGTGGCATCACCCACAGTGGGCTGAGCCCTCCCACATCACTCAAACAATCAAGAAGATGCCCCATGGTCATGGCCACAGGCCAGTTGAATGAAGGCAATTACCCAGTTGACATGCTCCCTCAACCCAGGTGTGTCAAGTTGATGCTAAATCTATTTAGCACAATTGACCCCTTGTCAACTTGACACATAAACACATCGTTATTAAACCATAACCTTTCCAATTCTTGTAGCCAAGGTATGGTATTAATATCATAACATAAGACAGTATAACCTTAATAGCCCCACAGTACTTAAAAAATCCAAGTGAGGTTGGACAGATTCTTCAGAGGTTGAGAGTCTGAACATTCTTACAGAGGACCTGAATTCTATTCCTAGAACCCAAGACAGGCAGCTCATTACTGCCTGTAAGTCCATTTCCTGGGGATCTGCTTCCCTCTTCTGGCTTCCTCCGTCATTCTCTTAGGTGGATAAGCCCCCTGACACATATACACATAATTAAAAATAAAATGTTAACAAAATAAAAACATAAAAGAAGAAAGTGAGAAGTTCATTAGAGAGTTTCTCATTTTTCTTCTCCTTTTAAAGTTTTTTTTAAAAACTTACACATTATCTATGTATAGATAATGGGTTCGTTAGACATTTCCATACATGTATATAGTGTGTTTGGAGCATATTCACTTCCATTTCCCTCTCTTGTCCCCTTGAGCCTCTTCTTCCCAACCAATCTTTCTTAAATTTATGGTTCAATTTTTGGTCAAGAATAAAAGTCTCCTTCACTGCTCAAAAAATAAAATATGTAAATAAACAAATAAAGCATTACGTATTTACTATGGAAATCTTAGAGAATATAAGAAAGTAGGGAAAATTCACTTCAGATGTCACCACAAAAATTTAATTTCTGTTGCTTTTCTAGTATTTTATATATTTCCAGTTTTATATTTCTTCACAGATAAATCTCATGGTTTAGAGGGAAATACAGCTTGTACAGTTTTGAAATTTATGAAAATTTGAATTAATGTTAAAATATTAAAAATAGCATAATCGTAAAGTTTGGATACTCCAAAATATTTTCCAATAATCAGCAATTATAGAATTTCACAGTGCTGGAAACTCGTGGTTGGAGCATGCCCATGCCTTTTGAGAAGACTCATGGCCTTCTTTTCAATGTCTTTTGAACCTTACTGCTGATTTCATGCACCTGAAAGTTTTCAAATAGCTTTTGTGACTCTGGCATTTTATTTATTAGTAACTGCCATTATAACTTATATCAAGGTACTGCAAAGGGCTACTAAATAAGTAAGAAGAGTATTCTCAAAAATTGAAGATTCTTGGAAGTTAGATGTGATCAAATACTAGAGTCAAGAAACTGTCTACTTCAGCTTGGCCTGCATGTCTGAGAGAGGTCCATATGGTCCCTGGGAGAAAATGAGAAGGTACTAAAAGTCCATAGTGGAAATATGCCTGTGCTTGTAGATTGAAGTTCTCTAATCACACCTTGAATCTGTGCATATGGTTTCCACACCTACAGTACTTTTGTCTGAATCCCAAATTTACCCTCTTTTTCAAAATGCTTTCCTCCCAACTTGTACAGAAACGATTTATTGACAATGCCAACTGAATAGAAGTGTTACTGCCATCTGCTGGAGAATTATTGTAATACCCATTCGATTCTATGCTGTATAGCTGTGAATAATGCTTCCTTAGCACAGAGCAAACTTGTATGTTCCATTCCTGCCCAATTATATACAACAGCCCTGATGAAAATATAACCTATAAATCTTGCATTATCTCAAAGGTAATATTAGTCTTGAATTGTATAAATTTTGAGAATGATATATTGCAGCAGTGTGACTCCCATGAAAAGTAACATGCTATAAAATTTATAATGTGACTATTTTTTTACTCAATATTACTTTAAAACATCTTTATTGTCCTTAAATTATCATATTAAGTATTGCACTAAATTTTGTAAAAAAAAAAATGTACCACAGTACGGTATTTGCTTTTAATGTCATGACCTTTGACTTTATAGCGAACATTTTACATACTTGCAAGCCATTATTCAACAAGCATTTTTTCTATAGATGATGATGGATAGATATATGGATATATAAATACTGAGATATATAGATATTCTTAGAATTTCCTTGGGAGAGATTTCCAAGAAGAAATTTCTAGTACAGACTATGTAATTATATTTAAGAAGTTTCTTGGGGCTGGAGAGATGGCTCAGCGGTTAAGGGCACTGACTGTTCTTGCAGAGGACCAAGGATTGATTCCCAGCACCCACCTGGTGGCTAACAACCACCCATAACTCCAGTTCCAGGGGAATCTGACACCTTCTTCTAACCTCCATAGGCATTGCACGACACGGGTGCACTTACGCACATGCAGGCAATACACTCATACACATAAAATAAAAAATAAAATATTAAAAAAGAAGTTTCTGAGCAAGCTGAGCATGGTAGTGTACATCTATAATCCAAGCATTTTAGAGACTGAGGCAGGAAGACGTCCATGAGTTTGAGACTTCCTTGGGCTACATAGGGAATACCATGCTAGCTAAGCAAGGCTACCTACCAAGATCCTGTTAAGTGAAACAAAACAAAGCCAAAATGCAAGAAGGGAGAGAGGGAGAAAAAGAAGGGAGTGTCCAACAAGGTTGCTTCATATTAAACCATCTGTGATGGTTTGAATGAGAATATCCCCCATAGGCTCCAAGTATTTGGACATTTTGTCTCCATTTGGTGGTGCTGTTTTGGGAGGTCTTAGAAGGTGCGTTATGCTGGTGTAAGCACATCACTGGGGGTGGGTTTAGAGAGTTCTTAAGCCTTGACAGATCTTGAGTCTCTCTCTTGCTTCCTGTGCCTGCTTGAAGATGTGAGCTCTCTGCTTTCTGCTTCTGTTCCAGCCACCTCCTACTACCATGCCTCCCCGCCATGACAAACTGTAATTCCCCTGGAACTGTAAGCTCAAATAAACTCTTCCTTCTCTAAGTTGCTTTGGTAAGTGTTTCTATCACAGCAACAGAAAAGTAACTAATACACTATCCAACCCAAGGTAGTATAGATAGGGCTTCATATATATGCCAGAAGCAAATTGCCTCTTTGAATTACTCTAAAAAAGATAAACTACAAATACTTTAAAATATAGCTAATAGACAGGCATGGTGGCCCACACCTTTAGTCCCAGCACTCAGGAGGCAGAAATGGTGGCTTTCTGTGAGATTCAGGCCAGCCTGGTCTACATAGCAAGTCCTAGGTCAGTTGGGGCTACAGGAAGACCCTGTCTCAAAAAGACAATATCTATCTACCTATCTATCATCTAGCTGGCTAGATATCATCTATCTATCTATCTATCTATCTATCTATCTATCTATCTATCTATCATCTATCTATCATCTATATACAAAATAAAATTTTTATTTCATTTAATAATATATTTACAGGGACTGGAGAGATGGCTCAATGGTTAAGAGTACTAAATGCTCTTGCAGAGGACCCGGGTTCAATTCCCAGCACCCACATGGCAGCTATGAACCATCCTTAACTCCAGTTCCAGGGGAATCCGAAGCCCTCTTCTGACCTCTGTGGCATTGCATGACATGGGTGCACTCACATACATGCAGGCAATACACTCCTACACATAAAATATGAAAATAAAAATACAAATATAGTCACAGAACCATGAAACTCTCACTTGATTTGGGGTTGTTTTGTTTTGATGTGTGTTCTGAAACATGGGAGTATGCAGATGA